CGCACCAGCGAACAAAGTACCGAGCCGAAACCTGACGACCTTGCATGACAGGTCTCTAGAAGTTTCCACATGGATGCTACCTTCACGCTCCCCCGTTGGATCTACAAACCACAGTCTTTTGGTTGTCCGACTTTTGAGTCATAGGCTCCCATCAGAGTTCCCGAAGAAAAGCCCTTTCATCGGTATGAGCTACCGCAAAGTATGTCGTGCCCCCAATTCCCAGGCACCCATATGGAAAAACCTACTAGTTGTCTGTCTAGTTCTTTCATGCATTCTCAAATCTTACGAGACGACTCCTGTATACGCCACCCATCGGATATCACTTAACGTTTTACCAGTAAGGTCAACTAATCGGGAGTTACAGGATCGCTGAAGCCAAAATCACTTAGCCACGTTCATACACACACTCCATCAGATCGGTCAGTAAGCTACCTTAGCTAGAACTCTTCGAACTTTCAATTTAGGCGTATGTTGTCGGTGTTTAATCGTCATATCGGTGTATACGGTGCGCCTGCAATGAAGGATAAATTCAACAAAGATAGTTTTCAATCACTCAATTAACGGACGTTGAAGTAGTCGCTGGAGACTTCAATGCTCAAATGAAATCCCTGGACGAAGTAAAAAGGCTCCTTGGCGGCCCACATGCAATCCCAGCCAACCGGAAAACGAAGATCACCTACTTTAACACTGCGCTGAATACGGATTGCTTCTATAAAGCATCAACTTATCGCACGAGAAACGGCACCCCTTTGCATGGAAACCGCCAACCTATTCACGACGATAAACTGAAATAGGCCACATCCCCATCAGCTACCGCTATTACTGGTCAGCACTGGTGGTTACGGGCCACACTGTCAAGAGCCGAATTCTCCATACGCCTGATACACAACCGCAATAAAGCCACCGGCAATGGATACCCATGATACCATGATGGAGACAGTTGCAAATTGGTTTTCGAAGAGGATCTCTCCGGTCGCCTCTCAAGCTTCAGCCGAAGGACTACATGATCACAGGATGCAAACTGAGGAAGCTATGCAAACGTCGATCAAAACAACGGCGGATTCTGGTGTAGTATAAATGATGAATGCCATCGATCTTAGCTACTCAGCTGGAAGCCCGCGCCAAACACGACAGTTCGCAAGTCCCTTAAACGCCTGTTCATTCAGAGTTCGAGGAATGACCACGAGAATGGGTTGAGTAGAAAAGGGTAGATAGATGGAGAAGGCTTCGGCTTTTAGTAATGGTCGCACTCTTTTCTGTCCAGTTAGGAATACGAGCCCGAGGAATGTATGCATGAGTGAAGTAATTAGGAAATCCGATGGCACACTGATTCATCAGTAATAACGCCATATTCACCGATGAGCTGAATATTTCGAGGTTCAGTTCAATTGTCCCCTAGAGACATTAAGTTTATCAACCCCAACCTTGACTGGGACAATATTCTCAGTTGAGGCTAGCCCCTCATTTGAGATAGGGGTTTTTAAGGAAATAATTTATCACAAAAGGTATAACGCCCTGAATGACTCTTAGTCTAAATTTGTACTTTCATGCGCCGGTTTTTGCTCAAATTTGGATGAATAGTAAGAGAAAGACTGAAAACTTGGAAGCAGAGTCGAACAGGAAATGGAGAATGCAAAAATGGAGATTGACTCCCACCACCGGAATGAAAGGATCGCGGTTCAGTGTGGGTTTTGGGCTCAAAACGGAAAAGCGAACAGGTTCCATATAAATAGGGAGTAAGGTTATTGTTGCGACTCACAAGAAAAGTGACAGATCCTCTGTTGAGAACCATAGAAGAATCAGTTCGATCAGATCTTCACCCTTAGCCAAATCCTAGAACCCAGACAATCCTTTATAAGACCTACCATTCCTGTCTTCCTCCAAACGAAAGTGGTTTTCGACTTAGTCAACCGCCTTATACTCTGACACGGACGCTTATTGAAGCATACTCGAGAAATGTTTTTAATAGTATGACCCCTTATAACATGCCGCTGTGTACGCTGCATTGCACACGACTGATGGGCAACTGGGCAGACAATGCTGACGTTAGGCGCAGAGTTTTAGATTATCGAGGTCTACTGAAACAACTGGTCGACCTCCATAGACTACGGTGGTTGGGACGTTTATTTCGCATGTTATTAAATAGGTTGTCACGGTGCGCAATGTTTTTCGAGACAGGCAGTGGATGGAAAAGATGAAGGGCGGTCAAACTAAGATTTGGCATGAGGGTGTGAAGACCCTAATCAAGACACTGGGT